AGAAAGCTTGCAGGTAGTTAAACTTGAAATACAGAGTGACTGTTGGTCATTCTTATTGGTTTGGCTAAAACTCTTTTTTCCTGGCTCATTTGTATGATATAAACCTCTCACAAAATTATAGGTAAAATTTCTTGTTTTGATATCTCAAAATCATTTGAAATAAGTTCATCTTCAGAAGAATATGAGAATACTGCATTGGCATTCAATCAGAATTGATATCAATTAAACACAATCTTATCTCTAAACAAATGAAGAATTCACTGTTGACAAAAATGCATTTTGCAAGATTTGACTTTCTACTTGGTCAGATATTCAGGTGTCCTGCATATTCCATGATTACATTATAAAAATTGGGCATCATTGTCTAGGGGAATGAACAGGCTTTCCAATGGTGCCAAACTGAAGTATCATTTAATCATTTAATACAACGAGAGATACCCTTTCTCAAACTTGAATTGCAGAACTTTTTGTGAGGGGTTTTCGTGTACGACAGCTGCATTATCTTTCATTACTCTTATGTAGCTTTAACACTTACTGTACTGGGGGGTGGGGGGCATCAGCCCACCCCTGCATTTTCGGGGATTGTGCTGTAACCGCTATTTGCTGTTTTTGGAAATCAGTAGGATGCGAATGCTAGAGAGTTACCTGACCTTTTGTGACCAAAGGTCAAGCCGAAAATTGAAATTTTTGTCATCTTGTCTACCAAACAAATGGCAAAGTGAAGTTTCTTGTTTGGGTCTATGAATCAGTAATGTTTCATTCTTTAGACTAGATTTATCATTTACTCAAACTGTAAATTGATCCAGATAATGATCTTAAGTATAAGAAGTCCTAAAACAATAAAATACATAAGAATTGAAAAACAGTAAAATACATTAGAAATTCATAATGGGGCGCCCAGTGTCAAATCTGACAGACATGGCGCAGTACAAATGGCCGTTATTATATTATTATTATTATAAAACAAGTATATGGACAATTCAATTATATGATAATGTCAAATAGGCTTTTAAAGACCTTGACCGGAGCGTAAACAACCATACATCCACAGACGGCTAATGAAACACAAAATACAAATACAAGAAAGAAAAAATTAAATACCCTTTCATTACTGAGAAAAATGAAAATTACAGTACAACTGCCGCCCCCTCCCAAATTCGCCTCGGTCAAGAGCCCCCGCGCCGCACGGACTTGGGTGACGTCATTTCGTGTAGACTCGAATTGTTTGCTATAATTCTTCGCCGCGCGATGTTCGAGATCTACATTGATTTTGCGTAGGCATACCGTGAATCCTTTCTGCTTTTTATCGATTGAAGTTTGAGAAGTTTTGAGAAGTCTTTCTAAAGAGAATGGCTACCCCAGTCGTCAGGGCAGATGCACAAGATGATTTAGTTATGGAATTTGAGTGTGAGGAGGATGGCAGTTGCGGGGAAAGCGGTGAAAATGACAGTGTCAGTGGTAGTAGTGACAGTCCGGACAGTACTGGCAGCAGCAGTGATACCGACAGCGATGCAAGTGATGCAGACGCCGGAGAACACGGGCGTATCGTCGAGTGGGAGTATGAGCCTTTACCTCGTGGTGAACCTGGGCAAAATGTTGGCGATGCTGGAAGGGCCAACAACGCAAATCGGCTTCATGAAAATGTCGAGGATTGGTAATTAAGACTTATAAGCTTATTGAATTTGTTGTGCATTCTAAATATTTATTCCCCCCCAAAATTGAAATCAAATACCGTAGATCTCTAGACTCGGTCATAAATGGCATGTCTAATTCTAAAGTTAACTTGTTAAAATGATTCTCTAGATCTATGTCTGCGCACCTAAAATTCGACCTCGATTTCATTACACAGTAAGATATTATTTTTAGAATCATCATTGTTATTCCGTTCTTCATATTCTAATGATTACTGAAACAAAAAAACTCGACAAATTATTCACAAGAACAATTTTTTTTAATGAATTTCAGACGGGCTCGTCATTTTGTGTAGCAAAACTGAAAAGTGCCCATGTCTGCGCACTCACTATTTTGCACGCAATTCAATCAAGCACAGTGAAGTTTCATACCAGGGACAACCCCCTGTTCAGACTTTTCTTTTTTGACAATGATTGAAATTTTCAGGGTGGCAAATGAAACTTGCTAAAACTCATTTTTAATCTTCCCAATTATTTTCACAAATTTTGGTATCTAAATGAATTGTTGAGGTTAAGATTGAAAATTGGTGTCAGTTTGATGTTTTGTTCTATAAATATCGCGCATTTACGTGGGTGCGCAGACATAGGCACTGCCTTGGGCACTCTTACCATACTACGACTACGAGAACGATGTCATTTTTATATTTATCAGGAAGCTGTAATAAAATATTTATAAAATTATAGTAGGTGTATTGATTTTTGTTTGAATCTTTCTGTATTTCAAGGTGTACATGTGGAAGATGTCGTGTGCCTCCATCTTTCAATGAAGGTGATTGTGTCTGTTGTCAGGAAATTGCAGAGGTCAAGGCAGAGGCTGATCGACAGGGTTCAAGTTGTCTGGTGGATTCTGAGGAGTTTGAGCCGGCCATCCTAAATGCGACAACATTGTACATCGGATGGATGGAGTACACAGATAGGTGGCGCTGAGCAGCCAAAGCATTTGGGGACAGGAACAATGAGTAAGTTATGTTTCTCCTTTTCATCATTTTGGCAAGGGCAAAAAAATAAATGGATTGATTTTGAAAGTTTATTGGGTGAAACTTTTCAAAACGAATTGAGTCACCGCAAGATGAATTACTAGTTTTGACCAAAATTCTTGCCTGGTGACCACTGGTGTACTAGCTGCCTTATCTGCAGGTGCTTCGGGGCACTTTTTCAGGAAATGTATACAAATAGGCAAGAATGACCACCGGTTTGTGAGTTTTAGCATGTTACCCCCCCCCCCCCCCAATAATCTGTAGTTATGAAACACAAACTTTATATGCGATTTTGAATGTTGCCCCCCACCGCCCGACAAACAATGACTAACCCTTGGTCATTTTAGTTTTTTTTAATCATTTTTATTTTCCTGAATTAATTAATAAAGAATTAATATTTTGACATCAAAACATCTATCCTAAGAAAAATAATGAAATTTTTTTATTGCTTTTTATTTTACAGAAAATACAGGTATGTGGCCTACAGGAAAGTCGTGAGATGGTGTTGGGGCTGGCTCGGGAAGGACATCAGGGTGCAACTGCCAGCATGTGTCCATGCCTCAATAATGGAAGCGTATCCTGATGGACGTGGTCAGTACAAAGGGACCATCCTGCGTCGGTTGAGATGAGGATGTAACATCAACTATTGTCTTGCGAACTTTGAATGACTGTCATCTTCTATGTGATTGTCAGCCATCTTCTGTACGTTATTTGTGATCATCGGCTTTCATCTTCATATTCATCACAAATACTATTGTTTGAACTTCTCATGATGGTATGGTTGCTATGAACTTTGATCTCGACATTTGATTCTAATTTCCAAGAGCTGATATTCGAACTTTTGCAAAACTGTGATCAAGCAACGATTTCTTATGAGGAAGAATGTTGAAATCTATATAAACAAGCAACAAAAAAAAAAACAAAAAAACACAACATGCCTTGTTCCTTCTCTTTTGTTATACACCCTGCAATGTAATTTGTTTTAATAATTTGAGCATTTCATATACAGTCAACCTGCCGAGTCAGAAAAGGGGAGAGAAAGAGAAAATGAAATTGAAAGAGAAAACGAAATTGAGAGAAAGAGAAATAACAGCATGGACACAACAAAGATAGACAGAGGAATAATGAGAGTAAGAGAAGGGAATTGCGGTTGACGAAATTTCAAATGTGTGATAAATGGTAAGCATCGTAATAAATCCAGGAAATCCTTTATTTTGCATCAAATCTATCCTCCCAAAAAGGATAAACCTTAACCCTATCTCCCACTCTGTCCCTCTTCCTCTCTCTTTCTCCTCTTCCACCCTCCACATTCCCATCTCTCTATCCCACTTCCTCTCTCTGTTTCCTATTCCATATTTCCATCTCTCACTCTGTCCCTCCTCTCTTTCTCCTCCTCCACATTCCCATCTCTCACTCTGTCCCTCCTTCTCCTCTTCCACCCTCCACATTCCTATCTCTCACTCTGTCCCTCCTCCTCTTCCACCCTCCACATTCCCATCTCTCACTCTGTCCCTCCTTCTCCTCTTCCTCCACATTCCCATCTCTCACTCTGCCTCTCTTTTCCTCCTCCACCCTCCACATTCCCATCTCTCTTTCTCCTCTTCCATCCATCACATTCCCATCTCTCACTCTTTCACAATCTCTCTTTCTCCTCTTCCATCCATCACATTCACATCTCTCACTCTATCCCTATTGGTATCTATCTTTATCCCTCTTCTTCCTTCACATTCTCTATCTCACTCTCATTTTCACAGCAATTTCCATCTTTAAATTATGAAGCTTCCTACAAGACACCTATAATAGAAATAAACAAACAAGATTTGTGTTCCTTTAGATGAATTTTTGTTTACCTTTGCTCAAAATATTCTCAGAACATCCCATTGACGGTTTTTCCCTCCAATCATTTTCTTCTCTGTTTGTGCAATATATTTCAAAATGATGCACCATTGGAACAAAAACTTTGATGCAACATGTACATTACATTCATCCTTATTTTATGTAAAGTTTACAGGATAGATGACTATTTTTATTATATCTGCAAGGATGATTATTTTTCAATCTTTTATAACCAGGTTTTAGGACAAACAGGAAACCGCTGTTAGGAAAAAAAGTATGGATGCGATGAAGTATCATCACAATGTTTCCTCTTCTGTGATAATATAGCATGATCTTTAAAACTACTAACTTTGAAAATGAATAACACAATTCACCTCGGCAGAAAAGGGAAAAAATCAAAAACAAAAAATAAAGTCATATCTGGTGCAATACATCAAATGGTTCTTGAATAAGAACAGTTTAGATGGAAAAAAAAAATGCATTTTTAAATTTTTTATTTTTTGCAAATAAGAAGCAAAAAGCATTGGCCAAGATGAAGGACTGTGAGAAAAATCAGATTATATTTGGTGCCAAATTCATGATCAACAGTGATTTACTTAGTGTTTATGAAAATCTAGTGAATATGCTTCAGAAATTGTTTTTAATTGAACTAAAAATGTAAGTTTTACAAATTTAATAAGTATTTTACCTATTAAAACCAATGACTATTGATGTGTACCATGGACTTTGGCTTGTGTAAGTATGTACAAGCTTACAGACAAGTTTCTAGTGCTTTACACTCACATAGAATCGGAATCCACTACTCACTTGCATGTTACTCTCCATAATTATACTGGCATAAACATAATTTAGGGTCTATGAAAAACATGTCTTGTACTGAAATAAAACAATCAGTGGTTAATGTTCAGGTAGCTGACACATTCATCATAGTTTCTATCACCAAAAGAACTAGTTTCTATCGCCAAAGCGATGATGTTGTTCAAAAGCTTGCACGGCTTCTCCATTGTCGGGGTGATGATGAGAGGCACTCCGTGCTGGTTGAGGCTGTAGCTCCTCCATGTTGTCTCTGAGCTGCTCCCTGTTTTCCACCAGTTCTACGACAACTCTCATCAGGGCTTTCACATAACCTACAAGATAAAATCCAAAACTATACCTTGAAAATTCATCTATACGGTGTTAAAAAAATACATTTTGATAAGAGGAAAAAAGGAAAAGAGAAAAATAAGAACATAAGAAGAGAAAACTCTTTTTCTCACAAATATTGAATTACCTAATTTTACACACTATTTGTAGGTGGATGACCAATCAAATACCAATGGCATGCACATGTTCTTTGCTGAATAGGTAGTTCACTGACTTGGGGACTGACATATATGCCTGTTTCTGCTTGCTATTCAATATTACACATTTGCAGAAAGTAACCCAATACATGTTTATAATTATCAATTTAATCAACAGATTAAATTAAGGGCATATAGGCCACAAGAATCTACTAATTTGAATTCTATTGATCATGAAGTAATAAAACATTTCTATATATAATTGAGCTCTTTTGTTGAATATTGATATCATTCACTAGACATGTGGCTACTTACCACATGTGCCAGCTGTCAGCACTCTCTCCACTGTGTGGCCTCCTTCCTTCGAGCGTGGATACTTCAACCTGTACACTGGGTTCCCTTCGGCATCAACAGCCTGGGCTCTATCACAATTTTCGTTCCAATGTAGGACAGCCAAATATAATCTGAAAAGAGTGAAGTTAAAAATAAAGGTCACATGAATAACATACTTGTGACAGTTGATTTTATCTTTTTGGTAATGTAATGTCTATCATCATAAACTCGTTACCTACTCTCCAATAAGTGAAGGCAAGAGTTAGTGTAAAAAGCATGTGTTACAAATAATAAATAAAAAAACAAACAAAAAAACCAACAAAATATGAAATAGAAAGAACCTGGCTATAACAAAAAGAAAATAATAACTTTAAAACATAAAACCAATAAAATCAAATTCAAAAGAAGAAGAAGAAGAAACAACACTGCCCTCTGTGACGTTCTTGTTAAATTTATATTAGGGGAGCATAATGTTGATGAATTAATTGCCTAATTTACCTGCACTTCATCCCTTGATATGAGTATACAAGCAACTTGGGGCAAAAGTGAAGGAGGATGTTGTGGAATGATTCAACCTTGCTGGTTTGGGCATGTGGGGACATCATCCCAATGTCGTTCATCAGTCTGGTCCTCAGCCATTCCTCTCGAAGCTTGTCGTACACCTTTGTACCTGTAATAAGATTGGGAATATAATATATGCGGTAAAGGTGAAGGAGAGTTCATTTAAATAGTTAGCAATCATGATCTCGGCATTTCCAAGCATCTCATCCCTTCGCCAAAACTATTTTTTCATTCCACAATGAATATTAATCATTTAGAAAATTGCAAAAAAAAAATATGAATGTCATGATCAAAATTGAACTAGTCTAAATTAAACTTGAATGTACATTATTAAAATAAATGTAAATATTTTGCTCGCATTTTGACAAACATCTTCAAAGTATTATTACACCGTATGCATATAAATAAGGATTTTACCCACATCCAAACAAAAAGAACAACTTGAGGCTAGTTTCATAGAAAAAAAAAAGCAAAGTTAATCTGTAGATCTAGTCGGATAAAAAAAAAGAAGCAAAGTCAACAACAAATGACCAATGATTTTGTTTTAATAATCATCCCTGGCAACAACACTAGATCTAGACTCTAGACCATTTTGATTTGAATAAAAACAGTGTTTTCATCACGAGAAAGTATCAAGAAGAGGCACCCATGTGATTTCTGACATCAATTCAAGTCCAAGGCCTAGATTCTACCAACTACCTAGTTTTCTTTTTCTTCTTTTTTAGGCCCAATTCTTCTTCAAAATCTCCATTTCATCTTCTTCTTATTTTTCATTGTTTACAGACTATATTCTAGACAATAAAACAACGTAGATCTAAATAATTCTTTGATAAAAGCGAGCGAAACTTAGTTTTGTTCGAGAAATATTCCACGACCACCAGCATGACACGGCGCGGCAAGTCAGGCCGGGCCGGCCGCGGCCCGAGTGCTCTCGCGAGGCTCAGCGATAGATTGCTGAAAGTTGTGCAATCGCAGACCGAGGCAGGCAGCCAGCAGCGCGGGCAAATGATTCGTTTCAATCTAATTTAGTGGAAATTTGGGGTTGATATTCCATATTACGTAGCGTGAAATTAATACAGATATAAAATGTCAACATTCTAATCGTAAAATGTCCAAATACAGCTTCGACATTGATATTTACAACAACAAAAAAAGAGAGAAGAAAACTTCACATACCGACCACCATGCGAAGAACCAGCTGCAATACCGAGTGGCCAAATAACCTACACGATATGACGTCATCAGAAACGGGTAGAAACGGCCACCGGCTAGCGCAGCCGAAACTAAATCTCCGGGGTGCCCCTCTCAAATCCGTGAATCCTGGGGTTCGGATGCTAAATACTTCTTTCAGAGGCCGTGGAATCTCGAGAAGTTTGCATTTTCATATTCAGTAAATATTCACGAGTCCGTAGGTATATAATTTGTCTATATAATGCTCTGCTCCGGTCAAGGTCTTTAAGAAACTTTTTGCCAAAAAATAAACTCTGTAAAAGCAGCACAGCATTTATGTTCCTTGAGCAAGGCACTTTGTCTACATTGCTCCACCTTACCCAGGTGTTAAAATGGGTACCCTGTAGGATGCGAACGCAATGCAGTTGAATTGGCATTGTGTGCGCCTAATAGGTGACCAGCTGGAATGCTCCCCAGGGAGAGGAGATTGTGCACTGTAAATGCTGTTTTTTTTTTGTAATTGAATCCAATGACTGGGGCAATAATATGCTGTGAGCGCTTTGGTCTTAACTCGTAAAGCGCTTTATAAGAGACTGGTATTATTATTATTTATTTATGTAATTCATAATAAAAAACATATTCATGAATAGAATTTGCATAAATGACAAAGTAAGCAATTTTCAGCCAAAAATATAGGTAAGGTCTCTTCCTTTGCGCAATATCTGAGGCGCATGCCGAGTTTTGTTTTTTCGATATTTCTAGTTATTTCCATGCATGCATTTAATTTGTTGTGAATAGATGGACTGCTATACCCATTGCCTGCTAACTGCTTGAGGAAAGGACACAAGATTAACAAAACCCTAAACGCGAAGACAGAACTTAATGCATTTGCTCGTTCCTATGGAGACCGAATGCCTGACAGAGAGTCTGTAAACCTTCCACATGGGTTCACAAAGCGAGAGGTGTATAGAAGAATACGACAAGATAATGCTGAGGTTTGTTCTGAGACTCACTTCAAAAGGATTTGGAGAAAGGAAGAGCAGCACATCACAATCCCCAAGGTATTGTAAATTCCATTGACCCTAAACTGTACTGGATGGGAGTGAGTGGGGCGGGACGCTCAAAAGCTCTAAACATAGGTTGTTGCATACCATAATCAAAACCGCCATGTTTTCAGCAATGCCACTTCATTACTTTTTATTTTGACACTACACTACCGTAAGTTTTTGCAAAAACAGACAATTCTTTTATAGTGTCATATGACCCATCATGATTTCAGGTCAGTTTTTTTTGTACAAAACATATTGCAGTTTTAATGCACTCCAAATGGGCCAATCGCCACAAAATTATGCAGAGATTTTGCCATTAGTTTCGCGGAAATTTGCTTATTTTATCAATAATGCTAATTTATGCAAATTATACCCCCGGTACAGTTAGGGTTAGACATAGATGAATTTATGATTCTTAGCCAGACGAAATCTGTTAAATTCCTGAGGCCTCTTGTATCTTTGTGTCAATATATTATTATATTAGTCTTATAACATCTACATTTATATGCATCAAGAAAACACATCCATAACATTAATTTTGTAATTAACAATCCTTCTCTTTGATATTTTTCTTTTTTTCTTTATAGGTGAACCGCTTCTCTAAGTGCGATGTGTGCACAGAGCTGAAAATGAAGCTTGGCAAGACAAACGACAAAGATGTTCGAAGACAATTGATTGCACAACATCAAAAACATGTAGAGAAACAAAGGTACAGCAAACTTTGATTAAAGCTTGAAGTTAATGTTGTAATTGATTTTGATGTACTTTTTTTTCTTTTAAGCATTTAGAATGAGGTGATCTGTGATCCAGTATTTTAAGTGCAACAAATGACAACCATGGATGTATTTTACATGTAGCTACAATATACAACTAGAGCTATGTCATTATATGCTTTCCTCATAGAAGTGAATATTTCAACAAAGATTTTGAAGGAGACAAAAACCGAGAAAGCTTAGAGGAATACTCAGGCTCCAAGATAAGTTGCTTTAAATAGAAGCGGCAAAATTGGAGAAAAATAACAGAACAAATTAAAAAATTGGACAACAAATATTAGCAATAAGAGAGTAATGAAATTCTTAATGGAAAAAAACAACAACAATGTTAATATATTTGAATAGGTGACCACAATAAAATATTGGCATTTGAACTGCCTATACGGATGTTTGGTTCTAATCAGTGGATATTTGACGTGAAAAGCCTATAGTAGAAGAAAAATACAATAGTAGGGAAAACAGGAGAAGAAATGTAGGCACAAGTTCATTACTTTAAAAAAGTATATTGGTCACAATTAAGTATCATTGATATAGACGTAAACCTAGCCAAGTCTCAGATAACACATTCAAATTACAATTTACTCGTGTATTTAAGGCATTAGTATTGGTTTTGTGATCAAAACTTCTAAGCATAGCATGACTCCTCATTGCTCTTTACCTTCTTTTCAGCAGCAGTGAGAGACAAAAATATTACAAACACATCCGCAAAGCGAAGTCACAGCCAGAGAAATACATGAGTGTAATCATCGATGGGATGGATCAGCACTGCACATCAATACCGCAACTCCATCCAACACCTAAAGCTCTGAGCTACAATGATCAACTGCACACTCACATCACCGGTGCACTTGTTCATGGAAGAGGTCAACACGCCTACATCGATTTTAACGAGTACCCACATGACAGCAACCTAACCATTAATATCCTGCTCAACATCCTGGTCCGTTATGCCGACTCTCTTCCACCAGTCCTCTACCTACAGCTGGACAACACTTCTAGGGAGAATAAGAATCGACATCTCTTTTCTTTTCTGTCCCTGCTCCTTGAACTCAATATCTTCAAGAAGGTAATGTTTAATACATGTTCTTTTTAGTAATTAATTGTCAATATAAGTATTCAGTCTGTAATGATGCTTTATTTAATCGCAAAATGAAAAGGAAATTTTGTTTATTTGAACTTGTATTGGATGGATAAGAGAATGCCTTTGTCTTGGAGGTTCTTTTCAGAATCATGTAAAGGACGAGTCAGAAATAATGATATACCTCGGAAATTGCCCATTGTTTGAGAATAAACATTATAAATATTCACTTTTGTCAGAAAACTATTCACAGTTGACAGTAAATTAAAGTAACTTGGTAAAAACCCAATTGCACCAAAACCTTGGGTTTAAAAGTACATGATATTTTGTGAAGGGATATGTAAATATAAAAATGTTTGACATGTACTGGTAGAGTACACTTTCCCGCTGCATGCAGTACCATTGCTGTTGGGCATCTATTCATGAAACAGCGTTTGAAAGTGGGTCAAACCCACTCTCTCGAAGTTGTAGTGTGAGCAGGAGAGAACAACGATGCAGAAAGAGTGTGAAAAAAAAGAGAAAATATTCATGATTACAAATTATTTTCACCATGGCAAATTTCCAAGGTGAATCATTATTTCTGACTCACTTTTTATGATGGGGGATTTTGCACTATTGTATTGTTGCATATCTTCAGTTGATCCTCTGTTTTAATCTATCAAATACATTTACTGCCCAAAATGTCTGATATGTGTAGGCATCATAGGGTTAAAAAAAGATATTGTGACTTAGAATTATTTACTTTACACAGATACATGTATACCAATGGTAAATAGTGTTTTGGGTTTTTTGTTGTTGGTCGTAGCCTATTATTCTCGGAAAGATTGAACCCTATGAACGGGAAAGAGGTAGTGCACATTAGAAACCATGGGCAATATAAAGTTGTCATCTTTGTCATCAGTGTACATATGATTTGTAAAGCGTAAACAAAAACAAGCTTTGATAAATATGTTTTTTGTTAGATAAATGTTCTGATAAATGAAGAAAAATTTCAATTGAATAAATTATCCCTCATGCTTATTGGGTTGTATCATTGAGGAATGTCCCTAAAATTCAATTTATTCCATACTGTTGTTCACCTTATAACGTTTATTGTTTGCATTTAGATCAAAGTTGGCTTCTTGATGGTCGGTCACACACATGAGGACATCGACCAGTTCTTTTCAAGGATTGCAACTCACTTGAAGAAAAGGAGCACCCCATCTTTTCCAAAACTTCTGCAAGCTATTCCCGCCGCTTTCCACAAAGCTCACTGCCCTACAACAGCGGAGCGCATCTTACACCTCTTTGATGTTCGCAAATGGCTTCTTCCCCATCAACACAGCATGTGCTATCACAGTAAACCACACATATTCAAATTCGCACTGCACCAAGGAAAAGCCACCCTACAAACAAAAGACTGGTCAACTACACCACATTGGAGAGACACCACTGGCATCAACCACATCCTGTCATCACATCCAGACGGACAACCAACATTGGTAGAGAAGTCATTTGCGGACATCAATATCATACATCTACCAGACAAGCTCCAGCCATACTTGGAAGAAGTAGACATTGAGGCATGGAGGTCCCTCTATGAGCTACTCACCTTGGAAGAGGAGGAGAATGAAGGTATCATTTCTGTCATTTTTTAAACTTCCAAAATTGATGGTGTTATGGTATTTTTTTCCATCACCTATGAAACATTGAAAAATACAATGTAGCATCTTCAAGCTTTATGGCCCAAAACTTTGACAATTTGTATTGAAGTCTTGACTGTTACACCCCTTCATGGCACAATTCACAAAAAAATCTTAATAGCGAACTAGGCTAGTGGGACACAAAAATATTGGTTTATCTAATGCATATAACCATTGACTACAAATCAAATGGATGGTGGTCTATAGAAAAAAGAGGAATGGCTGTTTTACAGAGAGCCAGCAAATTACGCGCCAATTTATGATATTTGATTGCCTCTCACAAGGGAGCAGCTGAGTCAGCAGCATAGATAAACCTGAGAGGATATTTTTGAGTTTTTCTCCACTCATTCTTTAAAAATTTTTTTTTAGAGATAGATATTATGGTATTGCTATTTTTCGAGATTTAACCCTATAGCCTGGATGAGGGGGGGGGGGTGGGGGGTGGGGGGGGGGGGGGAAGGGGGACTAATTTGGCCCCCCCTTAAAACATTTTTCACAATAACTATTTAAAGCGAAGACATTCTGCGCTGAAATTTCATGACTTTTTTCCTTCACATCTCGCGCAACAACGCCCGGGCATGCAGTTCCTATGCTACACATAATTTTGTACATGTACTTGCACATCGGACCCAAAATAGCTCAAAAACGTGGTTTCTTGTAGAATTTCAAT